CTTAAGCAATCATTCAACATGTGCTTGAAATTGCATGAAAACATGAAACACATCAGATTTGCGCTTAATAAGATAAATCCAAGTAAAGCGACTGGAAGCATCTGTGAAACTGACATAATAGTGGTGCCCACTAATAGAAGTTTGGGCATAGCCCCACACATCGGAAAACACAAGTTCAAGAGGAGCTTTGACAACACGACTTGATACAGAAAAGGGCAACTGATGACTCTTGCCTTGTTGACAGGCATCACACACTAGAAACTCCTTATTACTTGACTCAATGGAAAGACGATGACGATGAAGCACATGGTGCACAATGGGAGTGGCAGGGTGGCCAAGGCGAGAATGCCACTGCGACGATGACACCCGCACGCCACTGAAAACTTGAGACACTCGTGGCACATCAAGCACTCGTGGCACGTGAAGCGCATATAAGCCATCGCGAGCTCGACCACTAAGAAGAACGTCCCTCGTGTCCCGGTCCTTAACAAAAAATGAAAAGGGTGAAATTCAACAAACACATTGTTGTCACGAGTTAATTTAGGAACCGAGAGTAAACTACGTGTGACTGAAGGAACACAAAGGACATCAAGGAGACGCAAGGTTTTAGTGGTATGGGAAAGAAGGGATGCCTGACCAACATGTGAGATGGGCATACCTGATCCATTGGCAGTGCGGACCTGATCAGGACCGGTGTAGGGCTGGCGAGTGGCCAACTTGTCAAGCTGGCTCGTCAAATGGTCCGTGGCGCCTGTGTCCATGTACCAGGCAGGGTCCACAGAATACGATGGAGTGAATCCGGGCTCCTGTGTAGCGAGAGCAGCTTGCTTCTCGTTACCCTTCCCATTGTTCCCAATGCCAAGAAAATTACATTTAAAACAACGTTGACACCGAGACGCCAAGTGCCCCTCAATGTCGCAAAGCTGACACTCGACCCCACCACCACACGCCTCGCAGTGAAGCCGCTTGCGACCAGCCGTTGGAGGAGCTGGAGCGGGCGGACGGGGTTGGTTGCCCGTGGACGGCGGCGTCTTCTGCTTGGCACCACGGGCACCCCCGCGAAGAGCAGCGTTCGCAGAAGGGCCCTTTGTGTAGACTCCGACAGAGCGGCGAGCAGCGAGGCGCTGCTTCGTGTTAAGGAGGCGAGCATAGAGATCACGAGGTGGCATCGGCGTCTTACGTCCATTGACATTTTCAACAAGAGAGTCATAGTCCTCGTCAAGTCCATTGAGAATGAATGAAGTAAACTCCTCATCACAGAGTGGCTTCCCAATTGAGGACAGTGTATCAGCCAAACTTTTTACTTTGTTGAAGAAGGCCGTGACAGAGAGATCATTCTTCTTGACCTCACCCAGCTGGTTGCGAATGGCAGACGAACGTGCCAACGACTGCGAGGAGAAGCTGGAGTCAAGCGTGGTCCATGCATCCCTCGACGTGGCGGCAAAAACCACCATGCCAGCCACGGATGGAGTGAGCGAAGACTGAATAGCACCCAGGATGGCTTGATCTTGAGCAGTCCACCGACGATGAGCAGGGTTGAGGACCATGACAGAGCCACCATGGGGCGAGGGTACCGGAACCATAGCCGGAGGGCACGGCAGGGAGCCATCAACATATCCCTCGAGGTAGTGGCTACGCATCAGCGGCAACACTTGGGCGCGCCACGGGAGGTAGTTATCAGCAGAGAGCTTCACCGTCACCAGATGAGCGAAGTGAAACGGCCCTGGTTCGGCCATCGGCGTGGAGAGCGGCAGATCAGGCGGCGGGACGGCACTGTATGGGATGAGTGCATCGGCCGATTGTTGTTGATGATGGCCGTAAGTCGCCGATGGGTGCACACCATACGGGAGTGCAGGAGGAGCGGCGTACGTCGGGGTGGCAGCGTAGGGCGTCAGGGCGTAGGGCGTCGGGGCGGCAGCAGCGTACGGCGCGTACGACGCAGTCGACGGCGCGACGTATGGCGCAGGGTACGGGCCACCGTATGGCGCCTGGACCTGAGCGCCATAGGGCCCCGAGGCCGGGGGCGCATCGCAGTAGTGGGCCGGAGCTGGAGGGCCACCGTAGGCCGCCTGCCCAGAGGCGCCGTAGGAGGCCGGTGGCGGAGGCGTGTCGTGCGACGGGATCGGGTTGCCCGCGATCGGCACGGCAGGCGACCGAGGCGGCGGCGGCAAAGCAGACGAGACGATCGAGGCGCGGGAGGTTGCGATCCCGTGGGAGCAGATCGGGCCCAGGCAAGCGGAGGCGACGCTAGGAACGGCGACTTCAAAAGACATGCATGAAACCCGGAGGGCAGGGCAACATTCCCGGTGAAAAAACTCAAGCCTTGTTTTGTTTGAACTTTGAACCAAAATTTGGACACGCAACGAGAAGGGAAAATGCACGACATGTTTTCCGCTGTTGCACCTAGCAACTCGTAGTAGATTGGGGCGGTAGGTCCGAGTTATCGCTGCGCTTCTGTTCTTGTACTACTACTACTACTATGCAGTTCAAGGACTACACCCACAGCCACAGGTCTTCGGTCGACCTCGATCTCGCTCAGTCGTCGTACGGATTGGTTACTTTTGGCCCTGCTCGATTTATGTACGCCCAAAGCAGGCGCATGCCGAAATAGTTACTCTCACTATCTGCGGTGGACGCACACGGCTGCGACGGTGTGTGTATGTGTGTGGCTGACTGATCGAGTTGAATGACACGGCTAGCTGCGACAGTGTGTCTGCTTGGCACGCGCGGAGAGACCAGTGAGTTCACAGCAACTATTGCCCAACTGCCAGAATCAATGCGTGCACCAGCTTCACCAGACCTCGCAGCAACTATTGCCCACGCGAACTGCTCCTCATGCTCATCACGCAGCAGAACGGTGGGCTGTACGTACTCGTCTATCAGTTGCCATCTCCGAAGCGAATGATGACAAACACCCCCAATAAACTGCTTGCAGATCAAAATTGGTCAGAAATGACTTCAGGCAACAAACGCACTAGAAGCACATGACGAGATGTTGCCACATTACACAAAATGAAGAGGGATTCCAAATGTTACTACGAATGTTAGTTACACAGCTAGTGTTGCCAGTACTAGCCATGTACTCCCTCGGTCCAAAAATACTTGTCATCAAAATACCATCAAAATGATACATTTTGATGGTATTTTGATGACAAGTATTTTTGGACCAAGGGAGTACTACCGTCGCGCCACAAGCCAAGAAAGCGCATGCACTCAGAGAGAGACAGAACTATACATTTTTTTTCGAAAATGATTTAGATCTATTATTATCAAACTTCACCGGAAGTACAAAGCACATGAACGTAATAAAAATTACTAGGTTCTAAAACCACCTATATTACGAACTGGACAGAACTAGTGTATATCCAACAGAAAGGGCAAATAAACACAGCCGATGAAGACGCACGCAGCATCCCGTCGACCATCAGGACATGTTGGGTTCAGTCGACGCATGAGCTGAGGCCCAGGCATCCCATCCACAGGCCCCCCGTCTGCACAAAACCGCATTCAAACAGAGTCCAGTCAGCTCCAAGCACACGACAAAAATATAACACATTCTTTCTTGGTGGACCGTACGATACCTTCCTCGGCCCCCGGTGGGGGGCGAGCTCCGGCGGTGGCACCTGGTACAGGTCCCCGTCGACCGGCCGCACCACGCGCCTGGAGTCGCCGCCTTTGGCCGTCGAGCGCTCCCGGGACACGTCGCCCTCGGACCGCCTCATCGCCTGCTTCTTGGGCATGGGTTTGCGCGGGGGCGGTGAGTACCTGAACCACACGTCGCTGCAGGCCTCCGGCTCCGGCGTGGCGTAGCACGCGGTCGCCGCCGCCGCCTCCGGCTCGTCGTGGTGGTAGCTGTAGTTCCACTCCCCGAACGCCGGCACGCGACGCCTCCTCGCCTTCTGCATGACCGAACGATAATAAGGACTCGGATTCTGGGTCAGTGAAGTTGCTGGCATGGATGCCTTTGCCTGGCTCACAGCACGCTTACCGCCATCTGGTTCAGCACGGAGAGGAGCAGACAGAATGAGATACGAAGAAGAAGACAACGGAGAAGAGGAAGAACAAGAAGCTGGAGCCGGTGAGTGAGTGGGGCTACGAGGCTGAAGAGAATGGAATGGAACCTCCAATGGCTGGCTGGCTGGCTGTATGTGCGTGCATTTATAGCGAGTACTGGTGTGGCGTCGAAGCGAGGGGGCTCGGGACCGGCAACGTTTGACAAGGAGCGAGCAAGAGAGGAGAGGAGGACGGGCGGTATGGAAGGCCGACCCTTTTCAGTAGCCCGCTGTCGGTGTGTAGCCTCAGCCCTCAGCTATGGCACTCCATCGGCGCGGCACAGGGGCGCAGAGGGAGGGAGGAGTACTCGTCTGACTGACGCGCGAGCTTTTACTGCGACGCAGCATCGGGGCGGGGCACCGTTTTCTGCTGTCGCCGCGCGTCGCGCCGGGTTGGCAGCTGACCCTGGAGGCCTCCTGTCGCGCCCGTGTGTGTGTATTATATATTTCGGCATCATCAGCGGCTGATTAGAATTTTTAAATTTTGCGACGCTGCGTGTGCGTGCCCTGCAAGCTGCCGACTCCGAGGCAATGCGTTGACAAATGACAAGATGTCTTCTCTAGAAAGACGCGCAGATTACGTAGGACTGAGGTGTTCGGTTCACGGAAGGTAACGCAAACGCAAACGCAATCGAGTTACACCGTTAATGGAGAAAAGTGAAAATTTGCTCGGTTACTCTAAACAACCGTGGCGTAATCAGCCCTACAACCCGCCTCATAGGTCCGGGCGGGCTGCTCGGTCACGATTTTTTTAACCCAAACGGGTCCGGGCTGGCCGGAACTCCTTATATCCAGCCTAAATATGGGACGGGCATGGGGCATCCGGGCGCACCCTCCACGTCGGATTGACGAAGGGGTCCCAGTCGAAAACGCCATCTAACCCGGCGGTCTGAAGCTCGTCTCCTTTGTCGAACAGGTGGCGCCGTGTGCCGGGCCACGTAGTGCATTGCCCGACTATTTAAGTCGACCGACGGCACTGAAACCCCCTACAATCCATCCACGTTTTCCTCCTCCTGTCCGCCGCCGCCGCCGCTTTCCACTCCAGTCGTTCGGCTAGTAGCCATGCCCCCTCCCCCCCCTGTCGCGGGGCGAGGAGCAAACCCTTTCTAACGCCGAAGCGCTGGCTCAAGCTCCTTGAGCAGATCTGGGCTAGGCCCGAAGCCCGGATCGCCGCGGGGCTACCTCCGGATCAAGTGGATCCGGAGGAGGACGAGGAGGAGGAGGGGCATGAGCTGGAGGAGGATGAGGAGGACGCTGACGACGGGAATCTGCAGGCGAAGCAACAAGCCATCCTCGATTCCCTTCGGTCAGAGTCGGCTGCGGAGGCAAGACGCCGTCGCCAACCGAAGATGGAGGCACAAGAGGCCGCGAAGGAGGTGAAGATGTTCGCCTACATGGATGAGGTCGAGCGGGAGGAGGATGAGCCGGAGCCCTCCTACCCGCCCGCATAGCCGACGCCCGACACCGTCGTCGTGGACATCTACGTAGGATTTCTTTTACATGCTTTGTATGGTATGGATTTAAGGGATGAAATATGAGAGAGATGGATGCAAAGTAGTTAATTTGAGACGTGCTTGGTCAGTGCTGGCGGAGCCAGATTTACTAAGTCCGGCTGTAGATGCTGTTAGCGGCTTTAACGCCGCCAACCTGAGCTCCCCGGCAAGCACGTCAACCGCCTCATCTCCAAGATCATTGCCATCCCCTCCCTCGGCTTGGCGTCCCAGCACCCACCATCAAGCGCCGCCGACATTAGGGACGAGAATTCCGGCCTCGAATCCCCTCCCTCGGCCTTGGCGTCAGCCACTCTCCTTCATCCTCAACCGGTGTGCCCGGCCTACAGGTCCTCACCCTCGCTCATCAGCAACACACACGTGATCGTCGGCAACAGTCGCTATACCAGCGTGATTCAGTCTCCACCGGCGACCGCAGCCTTGTCAGCCGCCACTAAGGATGCAAGCGGCGCGGGACATCCCGTCAGGCCGCTACGCCGCCCCGCAATTAGTCCCGCAAAATGCCCCGCTGGGCTGACCGCGTCGTTTATAGCGGGATTAAGCGGTCTAACCGCTTTGTCCAACGGGAGTCCCGCATGTCCCGTGATTCATCCATACGCCATGCACGCAATTCAGCCATAAACCAAACCACGAGTTCTTCGCGTCTTCTCCCTGTAGAGGAAAGTAAAGACAAGATTGGGTCAAACACGCTCTCTGTATTCACTTCATAGCTCATATATACAGGTTACATGAATTCATGAGGAGTGCTCTAACTGACTAACAAACGAGCTAGCTAGTGCTCTAACTGACTAACAAACCAGCATACAGTCGTGGTTAGTTGTAGAGCGTGCGCGTGAGAGTAGGACCTGAAGGGCCATGCCAACACTCCCTTCTACCGCGAGCTGCTTGGGGTCAGGCCAGGCATGCATGTCGAACTTCTTGACGGCGATGGTGCTAGGGGCGTGACGGCAGAGCAGAAGACGACGGTGGCGGCGGCAGCGGCAGCGGGAGCTCCCAGGCGCTTCCTGTGCAACATGTGCGGGAGATGCTTCGGCAGCCACCAGGCGCTCGGCGGGCACGTGAGATGCTTCGGCAGCCACCAGGCGCTCGGCGGGCACGTGCACTTCGGCCACAGGAAGAAGGCCAAGGACGCGATCGCCGCAGCAGCGAGTCCGGAGGACGCTGCCGGTGGTGGCAACGGTGACCGCGGCGTGAAGTTGGCCACGGTGGGCCAACTGGCTGTCGATGGCAATGCCGCTCACGGCGAGGAGAAGGCCGTGGCTGCAGGGAGGAAGGCGGACTTTGCAGCACATCATCAGGGAGGATGTCGACACCAGAAGCCTCCTTGGGCGCAATGTCGGCAACACAAACGAGGAGATGTACGCCGGCGCAGCAAACCACGGTGGAGATGTTCATTCGCTCGTAGTCTCGTTCGGCTGCCTGGCGGGACTTTGGCGGGCTCATGCGGGCTGCCGCGTTGTCCGCCAAAAGTGAAGCGACGTGAGGCGGGCTGCCCGTGGTGGCCGCTAAAAACGCAGCGTCCCGCTTCGGTGTTTGGCGGGCAGCCGCAACCCGCCCCGCCTGCAACCTGAGCCGCCACGTCGAGCCGCCGCCAAACTCCATGGAGCTCGACAGGGAAGACGTGGTAACAGTTTTAGGATAACCGCGAAAGGGTAGCTGCGGTTTATGTTAACACACGATTTTGAGCGGAATCAGATTTGCACTGGATCGGCAATTGATACACTGATATGTGATTACAGCCCAAACTAGGATTACGTTACAATTTTCCGAAACAAACACCTACAAAGAGTAGAGTACTTGCCTAAGCAAGAGGTGACAATGTGTTTATAAGTCCCAGCTACTAACTTCCTCTGTTCCAGAACCAGTTTGGTCAACTTAATTATTCTTAGGCACGTGGAATTGAAGTATACCATTCAAGGCAAGCAAAAGAAAATAGCTGTGGTTCTCTTAATACAACCACTCAGTCTCAGGATGGAAGAATCATGTTTTCCATATAGTACACAACTAAAATATTTGTCCTTGTGTGGCAGTACATCAGTTGCATCAAGGAAAAGTAGAATCAATCACATAGTATATCACAGGGACATTACGCTGAGTGGAGAACTGGCATTACTCCCACTTCAGTAAAATGCATATGATCTACTTCAGTGCCAGCACCATGAGGACCAAGGATGTAAATTAATGGATAAATTGGACATACATACATAAACTTCAGTATATATAGATAAGGATATTTTATATAATTACCTAGCTGTCGAGAATGTCCACGTTGAGCAGCTTAGTGCTATTTTCTTTTATTCAAGATTAACACATCAATTGATCTCAGAATGCAGTCTTCCCGTGACACATTAACATGCTCAATTTAAGCCTGCAGCCGTGCACTGTCATTGTAAAAAGCTACAGAATTTACCATTTGTTCATATCAATCAAGTGATGAGATAATCAGGATAAGCGCATTTTAAGAGACCTATAGGACTTATAACAACAATATGCAACATAACTTCTCAGTAATCCCCTGCTTTAAAGGTTCTTTCCATTCAAGTTTCCAGAGTTCTGTTCTAGCACATCAACATTATTGCCCCCATCCATTTCATTCACAGTTAATCATTAAGAGAACAGAGTGCACGACTGAAAAATATACAACAGTAGGTAATGCACACATATTAGGCCCTCTGACTTTTGGTTGACTCAGCACCACCCCGATGATACACGCATACCTCGCGTAATTCTAACAGTATAGCAAATTAAACCACAACACCACGAGTATCTTGAAATTCAGCTTGGGACATCAACATCTATATGTCAAAATCAACCTTGCATTGCATTATTTGAAGAGAAGATTTTAAGTTATTCTAACAGTAAAAGCGGCGTCTCGCGGCCAGATGATACAGTTAATCTTAAGAACTTTTATCCCCAGCTAATAAGGAGCATGCATGATCTCAGTGACATACCTCGTGATGGACCAGCTGATGACCAAGGACCTCTCCAGATTGCATGTCCTGGTCTGCAAAGCCAACCAAGAGAACAGAGGAAACAGAGGATCAGGTATGCATGCAGTGAAGTTGTATAGCATAGGAAATCATCCGGATCTATTTTGCTAACAGTAAGATAAAATTGTAGAAAATGTTAGTATCACACTTTTCTGGACAAGAAAATAGCAGGAGAGGCTACCACTGCAGTATTATACTATTATATATAAGAGGAAATTTGGGTAATTCTAACCTCTTAGCTGACCAGTCTGAATGTCGGCATCCATACACGATCCCCTTCAATAACCTTTAGACACCAACCATGCCCCATGAGCACAAGACAAGTAAATTAGAATGTTAAGTTACTGAATCATTGGATAAAAACCTCCTGAACCTGTTATAGCCTATAGGTTTGGCATTGCTT